CCCCTACGCGGAGCCGGGTCCGCGCGCGCCCGCCGCTGACGCCGCGCCTGCCCCTAGCCCCGCCGCCGCGGAAGAGAAGAGCACCGGCAGCATCCTGGACGACATCGGGAGCATGTTCGACGACCTGGCGGACCAGCTGGACGCCATGCTGGAGTGACGCGCCGCCCCCATGGTGCCCGCCAGCGCCGCCCGGGCTCGGGCTCCGGCTCCGCACACTGACCTTTACCTCAGGATGGGCACCTCTCGGCGCAGCGAGGGGCAGGGCGGTGGGCCTCGGAGGGCCAGGTGCAGGGTCGGACCCCGGGCACAAGGCAGGGTGGGCCGTTGGCGGACCAGCTGGACGCCATGCTGGAGTGACGCGCCGCCCCCATGGTGCCCGCCAGCGCCGCCCGGGCTCGGGCTCCGGCTCCGCACACTGACCTTTACCTCAGGATGGGCACCTCTCGGCGCAGCGAGGGGCAGGGCGGTGGGCCTCGGAGGGCCAGGTGCAGGGTCGGACCCCGGGCACAAGGCAGGGTGGGCCGTGCTGCCCAGCCCCTGCACAAGCACAAGCCCTGCCCTGGGCCCAGGCCGGGTGCCAGGCCTGCAGGACTGCCTGCCTGAGGCTCCCTGTGCAGTAACTGCTGGGCACCTGCCCACCTAGGCGAGGCTCTGCCCCCGTCCAGGCTGGGCAGGCCGTGGGAGGAAGGAGGAGGGGGCACCGCTGGAGCCCCTCCCCAGTCTGTGGCAGAGCACAGGCGTACGCCCAGCACAGAACTGCCCGCTGGGGACCTCTGCCAGCCGCTCTGGCGCAGCACAAGAGCCAGGGGTCAGAGTCCGGCCAGCCCCACTGCACCCCGAGAATATAAGCTATCGAGTATTAATTTATTGGGAATGAGCTGAGGCAGATTTCCCCAGAGAAATGAAAAGGTATAACTTTAACAAATATATATTTAAAGAAATATTATTGATTCTATAGAAAACCATTTACCAACTGAAAGGACACTGGAGTCTAGCTTGAGACAAAAGTTGTTAGAGGCCCAGGCTATCTGTCTGTCCTTCCCTCTGTCCAGGAGTGGCTAGGCCCCTGGACCACTAGCACAAATTGGAGGCTTGGGTGTGGGAGGGTGTGGGTGCTATGCCCAGGGCCTCTCCTCTGCTCTCCTCCCTAGCAACTTCTCTGTCGGAAGAACTCAAAGGATGTGCCTTGCCTGCTCCCACGCTGTGGGGACCCGAGGAGGGGCTCCTTCCTCCTGCGGCGTCCCCGGGTGCTGGCCTGAGGGTGCACCGTGCGCAGCATGGGCGTGAGCGTGTTGACACCGCAGTGTGGCTGCAAGGCGTGCATGCTGGGTTGCATGTGCTCACATGCAAGGGTGTGCCGCCCCTCTGCAGGCCCCTGGCCCTTAGCCCACCTGCCCCACCCGAGTCCCCACGGATCCCCCTGCTCATGGTCTGGGCTGTCATGTGGTCCTTGCCCTCTCTTCCCTTACCCTTGTCCCCAAGTAATGACTGGTCTCTGTCGTGTTTGCTGATCCACAAGTGTTGGGCACAACTTTGACATTTCTTACAAAAAATTTTAAAAATGACGAAAACCAGCGATTGTGGTGCCGAGTGGGGGGGGCAGTCACAGTGGCATCTGATGTGTGGGGCCCCTTCTAGTTGTCACTGCACCCCATCCCGGTGGGTATGTCCAGCTATCTACCTGGCCTCTCCTGGTACGCAGCCCAGGTGGGGGCTCCCGGAGGGGGGGAGGCGGGGCTGGGCAGGGGGTACTGTCCGCTGTCAATAAACAGCAGAGAACGGAGCTGCCCGGCTCACTTATTTGGGGGGAAGGGTATTGGGGAGAGTGTTGGAGCAGGATTGGAAGCCACGAGCCTCCTGGCAGGGGGAGACTGCTGAGGGCTGCGGTCCTGGGGCGCCCACCTTTGCCCACATTCACTGCTGGGGCCTGTGCACACCCCTTGCCCGAGGACCTGTCCCTGCTCACAGCCAGTCTGCAGATTTTATTTCAATCGGGAAGTAATCAAATCTATGTACAGTCTAAAAACAGTAGAAAAAGTGAGTAAAAAGGCCCAAAGTCCATCTAGGGTGGGGACAGAGGGTGGGCCGGGTGAGCATCGTACCTGGCACCCAGAGTGGGGAGCCTGGACATTGTCCTGGCAGCAACAGGGACAGGGCCACGTAGACAGAGCCTGTTATCCTGTTCGCACACGCAGGCAGCATCCTGAGGCCACCCCATGTGGCCATCCTGGCCTGGACAGGCCCAGGGGGAGCTGGTCTGGCCTGAGCTCTGTCAGCATGTCCAAACCTGCCGAGAAAGGGCTGTTTCAGGTGCCCCACGGTCATCCTGCCTCCGTGCCCACTTTCCCAGGCCACTACCCCGACCCCGTGCAGCTCCTCTAAACGGCCCAAGGCGCAGACACAGACCTTCACGGTGCTGTCCACAGCCCCTGAGAAGAGCCGGCCCCGAGACACGGCTAGCGCGGTCACGCTGCCCTGGTGGCGCAGCAGGGTCTGCGTGCAGATCATGTTGTCCATGCTCCAGACCTGGGGGACACACAGTGTGAGAGCCCCCGTGCCTGGCGGCCCGGCCTGCCCCTCCTGCCACCGTCAGCACGCACCCTGAGGGACCGGTCGTAGGAGGCACTGAACACTTTGGTCTGGTCGGGCGTCGAGATGACTGCCAGGGCGTACACGGTGCCCACGTGGCCTGTTAGGGTCCGCACCTGCTCCTTGGACTCGATGTCCCACACCTGGGAGCACAGGTGGGTTAGGGACAGACACAGGACAAGCGAGGGGAGACGGTCCGAGTCAGGCCGTACCCGGAAGCCTGGGCCTTACGTGGATGAGGTTCTCGTAGGTGCCACAGACGATGTGGTGATTGGTCACGGCGATGGAGTAGACACTGCCCCCAGACGTCTGCAGGACGTGGATGCAGTCGAGGGTCCGAATGTCCCAGATCTGTGGGTAAGCGTAGGCCACGTGGTCCCAGGCCAGCCGCCTTGCCCTCAGGGCCCCGGGGCAGCCCACCCCTCCGCAGGCGGGGCCTCTGGTACGTCCGTCGCTGCCTGGCGTACCTTGATTGTCTGATAGGACCCGCTGTACAGGTAGCTCTGGGCAGCCACCAGGGCCCGCACCCAGTGGTTGAGGCCCGTGAGCTCCTTCTTCAGCTTCAGCTCAGTGCCCACGATGTCCCAGACCTGCGGAGATGGCCATGAGTGCGGCTGGCCGGGGGAAGCCCGGCC